AGGCGTAGATAGGAGATAGCCAGGCTAAGAGCCCATAAGACAAAGTGTTTTTCTTCTTTTCTCTTTCTGTTCTCTCTCTCTCTCTCTCTCTCTCTCTCTCTCTCTTTCTCTCTCTCTCTCTGTCCCCCAACAGAGTCTTGCTGTGTAGTTCAGGCTGGCTTTGAGTTTACTGTGGAGCCCAGGCTGGCCTCAAACTCACAGTGATCCTGCTGTGTCAGCCTCCCTAATGCTAGGATTAGGCACATGGTGGCACCACCATGCCAAGCAAGACAAGATGTTCTTGTGGGGCCTGTTTTCTCTCATACAATGGGGAGAGAAATTTTCACTCTTTGAGACCTTTCAAGCCTTAAAAAGTCAGTTGCCTAATCTTGGATCAGTTGTACTCCAGTGTCATGATTGTGGCCATGGTTCTGAACACTTTTTATTAACTGGAGACTTGAACAGCACCTGCTCATCTTTTTTTTTTGGTACTGAGGTTTGAACTCAGGACCTTGTGCTTGCTGGGCAGGCACTGAAGCTGCTGAGCTATATCCCTGGCCCAGCACTTTTTTTTTTTCTTTTTTCAGAACCAGGGATTGAACTCAGGCCCTTGAGCTTGCCAGGCAAGCACTTATTCTATTGAACCATCTCCCTGGCCCCCATCTGTTAATTTTAAACAATGATGTCGGTGGACTCGGGACTGTGTGTTGCTGTATTTTTCCCTGAAAGCCACTAGAACAAATAAGAACATTTTGCCCCTCCTTCATTCAGCTCATAGCCTACTAGGGGATTTCATACTCACATTAGTAAGCCCTGAAATGAGGGATCTAAAAGCAAAGTGCACAGTACATGCTTAGCAAATCTGAGTGTTCCTGTGCTTGTGAATACATGTGTGTGCTTGTGTGTGTGTGTGTGTGTGTGTGTGTGTGTGTGACTGGGGAAGATAACAAGGAAGGACTGCACATGGGAAGGACTTCGGATGATGATCGCTAAACTGGGGTTCAGGGCCAGAGGCTTGTCCAAGCTTAGATCTGCAGAGCAAGCTCACTGTGTTACAAATGCATTGGTGCTGTGGTAACACTGGAGAAAGCTGAGGAGGTTCTATGGACCAGCCTCCTGGGGTGTGGCCATAGCTTCTCCCTGTTGGGGATGGGAGGTGCTGTCTGGCCTGGCCTGGCATGGCCTGACTTGACCAACCCCCCTGTCATCCACTCCTGTTCCCAGGCCAGAGATGCTGACTCAGGGAACAATGGGGCCATCCAGTTCTCCATCCTCCAAGTGAACTTCATCTCTAAGGATGGTACCACGAAGCCTATCCAGGGCTTCTTCCAGATCTCCACATCCTCAGAGGCTGGCGTGTTTATTGGCAACATTGTGTAACTGTGGGCAGTCCCTGGTTGGGGAGGGATAGGGCTGGCACCCAAAGAGGGTGCGAGGCAACTCACCCATCCTGGGAGGAGTAAAAGCTGATTTCCAAGGACCCAGTCTTGCATTCCAAGATTAGTATGTGTTCCCACCCTCCATAGGTTAGTGACCAACCTCGATCCCACTCTCCAAGGCACTTACCAGGTGACAGTCATGGCCCAGGACAGACCTTCAGTGGGTCCTGCGCTGGAAGCCACAGTCCCTCTAAATGTGAGTACCAGTCCCCACCCTGGCCCCAGTGGGTGACCTCTGCTGCCTCCCAGATCTCCAGGGCCTCATCACCCCACACTCTTCTCCCTAGCTCTTCACGGTGAACCAGAATTATCGTGTGAGGCTGCAGTTCTCCACGTTGAAGGAGGAGGTGGGCACCAACGTGGAGCAGATTAAGGCGTAGGTCTCGGGAGGGAACAAAGGGTTGTGGGGAGGACAGGAGGGAGGTCTCTGATAAGAACTGGATGGAATATGTCTCAACCCTGATCCACCATTGACCTTGTACTTTTTTTTTTTGACCTTGTACTTTTTGACCCTATACCTACCATATTAGTCTGCATGTCCCTCAAAGCCTGGGTCCAGCCCAGGCAGAATAAGGCCTAAACACAGTGGTCACAGACAGTTCATAAGGCTGTGTACTGCACAAGCACACTGCTTGCTAAGCTGCAAACCCAGCCCAGAGGAAGGGGTTTCCTTTTCTAATCTGCACAAAGGTGCTGCCTGCTTAGACACAGAGTTGCTCAGTTCCTTTCTCATTCACCAACTCCTGATTCCACTGGCAGAGCCCAGGCCCCAGACCTGGGGGAAGGCTGCATCCTAAGCATCTGTGACACCTGTTTCTTTGTAGGGCCCTGACTCAGGCAACCAAGACTTCAGTCTACATTGTGAACATTCAGGACATAGACTCCTTGGCCAGGTACATGCCCCCTGCTACAGCAGATGGTGGTGGACAGACACCACAGCAGGGAGACTGACAGGTGGCTCTGAGCTGCTGACCTCCCATTCCCTGTTCCAGGGCCCAAGCCCACTCCTACATTGATGCCTACTTTGTCTTCTCCAATGGGACAGCCCTGACCCTGAATGAGCTGAGTCTGTGAGTGCAGCTGTCCTCGCGGCTGGGGGGCTGGGTGGAGGGTGGGCAGGAGGCCGGAGGATGCAGCAAGCCTAGGTTCTGAGTGAGATTCTGTGGCCAGGATGATCCGGCAAGACCAGGGAGCACTCACACAGCTGCTGCAGATGGGGCTGGTGGTGCTGGTGAGTGGAAGATGTGGCTATGGGGCTGGGGGGAGGGAGGTGGACCCCACAGCCAGCCGCCCTTATGCTCTTTTTTCCCCAGGGCTCCCAGGGGGATCAGGAGTCTGACCAGCCTAAACTGCTCACCAGTGCTGTCATAGGATTGACAGTGGCTTTGGTGCTGGTCCTTGTGGTCATGATTGTGGCCCTTGTGTGTGTTCAGAAAAGGTACTGCTCCCATCACCCTGGGTCTCCAGCTTTCCTCCTCCTGAGATATACAGACGTGGGGGTAGAAAAGGTTTGGGTTTAGGCATGAGGTATATGTGTGTCCCATTACCAGTCACCTGTTAGGAGATCTTCGATGAGTCTTCTCCCTTCCCCAAGCCTGTTTCCTCATCTGCAGAGTGGGCACCACACTAGATTCCTCCAAGTATTCAAGGCGGTCATGTGCATCTCACACCCAGCATAATGCCTGCCACAGGCTGCTGCTTTCCCTTTTAGCATGCACTGAGGGAGCAGTTGCACCTAGGTCTGCTTTTTATTTATTTTCTTCCGGTACCAGGGATTGAACTCAGGACTCTGCCCTTGCCAGGCAGGCACTTATTCTACTGAGCTATCTCCTGGCTCTTGCACCCAGGTCTGAGTCCAGGCTTTGCCACTGGCTGCCTGCATGGCCTTTGGCAAATTGCTTCTCTTTCTTGACTGTTCCTTCTGTAAAGCGGAGCTTACACGCTCACCTGTCAGGATGTCTGGGAAGCCACCCTGTCAAGGCCTCCACCAGGCAATCAGTGGGTGTTCAATGAAAGTGAGATTCTCCTCTTGGTTCCCCTCAGCAACAACCGGAAGCTTCGGGCTATGAAGGCTAGCAAGGAGGCTCAGAAGACCGCGGCGGGGGTGGTGCCTTCGGCCCCTGCCATGCCTGGGACCAATATGTACAACACTGAGCGGTGAGCAGGGGTCAAAGTGGCCAAGAGACAGGGTGAGGGGACTGTGGGCTGTGGCCTCTTGACCAAGCCTTCTCTCCAGGGCCAACCCCATGCTGAACCTCCCCATTGAGGGCTTGGAGTACCTTGCTTCCTCCAGCGAATTGGACCACGTCAGGTGAGGTGCCTGCCCCTCCCATTAATGACAGTGATGATGGCTGTGGTGACAGTGGTAGCAAGTCACGGAAGCAGGGGCAGTGGTGATGGTACAGTAGGCATGGAGGCAGCAGGGCTCCCAGTTGGGAAGACTGGGCCCCCCAACAACCCTGGCTGCATCACTGCCCCAACAGCCTCAACTCCCTGGACGACAATTCTGTGGACCTGGACAGGAACAGTCAGGAAACCAAGGTAAGACGGGGGATGAACTTCTGGCTTTACTTCCTTCTCTGAAGTGGGATAAAGGACAAAGCAAGGAGGGACCTGCTGCTGATGGGGGCAGCCTCACTTTGTGCACAGGCCTCAGGAAGCCCCATGCCTTGGGAGTATAGTCCAATCCCTGTATCTCCCCTCATTCATCATGTGACCTAGTAGGTGACTTCTTGCACCCTGCTCAGTTTTCTCATCTGTAAATGGGAATCAGAGCATTAACCTTGCAGGGCAGTGGTGAAGACTAAAGAGCAGGGGTAAAGGCGTCTGGCACAAAGCAAGTGCTCAAAAACCTTGCTCTGTCCCTTTTTGGCCTTTATATAAAAGCTGGTGGAGCAGGAGGAGAGATCTGGAGATGAATACACATAGTCTAGCAAAGCAGAGAAGGTAGCTCAATAAACACTACCAGGTATGTCTCTGTTCCCTGCTTGGACCAGTGGCAAAGGCTGTGTGGAACATAGGCAGAATATTTAGCCCCTCTGGGGCTCTTCAGATGTTCCACTGTTTACCAGGGACCGGAACACCAAAGACTGGAAAAAGCCCTTGAAGTACCTTGGGGAAGGTGGTGGTGTCCAGGGACCTGCCCCGTGGGTATCTGCAGCAGAGTAACGTGGCCTGGGAGCCTTGCCCTTCCCTAGGAAGGTGTATGACTGCTGTACATGTGTGGCAAGTCACCTGGAGACAGGGAAGAGCAAAGCACGAGAAATGTGGGAGTGTGTACCATGATGAACTGATGGGGCACTGGAGTAACCTGTCCCAGGAGATGCCAGATTCAACCAGGGGCAGCCCTGTGGTCAGGCCTTAGATCTGCAAGATGAGTGGTCACAACCTGCTCTGCCTCTTCCTGGCCAACCCAGTTCTTGGAGCATGCTTCTGCATCCCCTCCCTCCCTCAACATGGTGGCTACCGGTGCAGCCAGACTGAGATAGACTGGCTCCTTGGCACAAGACGCAGGGCTGGGTGGGACTCAAGACTGGACAGAGCACCAGGATGTGGCTCTGTCTGTGGGATGGGTAGACAAAGGCCAGAGATGACCCCAGGCTTACCCCTTCACCTGAGTCTATCAGCACTACCCCTGGCTGTGGCCCACCTCTGGGATACAGCTGCAGAAGACTGAGGTCCCAGGAGGAACAAGAGGGGATCCCAGCTGCGGAGCCATCTGGTCATGGGCTTGAAGGTCCCCCTGCACCCTAGGGCCTGGGACAATTACTCCATCTTCAGCCTTCCCTCCTCCCCTCAGAAGGAGTCTCTGAACAGTGTGCCAGCACCACATCCCGAGCCTGAGCCCCTGAAGGCCGTGCTGTCAGGAAGAAAGGCAGACCCAAGGGGACAGCAGCGGGAGGGCTTGTCCTTCATCAACACTAGTCTGGACACCACAGACCTGTGATGGAGGCCCCACTTTCCAGCATCCCGGAAAACACACCCACTCTTCTCTACACCCACTCCTCTCTTGATGTGATAATATATGGTATTGCTTTGCCTCCTGCTGTCAGTCAATCACCCGCACACAAGGATTGGGGAAAGATTTTATTACCAATGTATACTGTGACAGTTGTAGCCAAAAATTCAAGGCTGGAGGAGTGGGGACAAGGGCACTGGGTGGTCACAAGGGACTTGTGGGGGCTCACTGCATGGAGGGGGGGACAAGGGGCTGTAGAGGGTGGTGTTTAAAGGACAACTGTGGTTGTAGAATGAGTGCTCTATCCTGTCTCCAATTGCCAAGACTAGCTGTCACCCAAGCTTCGGTGGCCAGAGGTCATCTGTGAGCTTCAGTGTAACCTCTATTCCTGTTTTAGATTCTCTGTCCTTCCTGTGCTGTCCCTCTCAACTGAGGCCCCAGTTGGCCTTTGCCCCCTCTGGGAATTGTGAAACAGTGAGGGGTGTGTGTGTGTGTGTGTGTGTGTGTGTGTGTGCGTGTAAGGTGGTGGGAAGGGAGGAGTTAGAGAGGACATAGGGCCAGGGTTGAGGGTGGGAGAGGGGATAGGGGAAGGACCACCAACAGCATGCAAGAGACGCCCGCCCACGGGGCTGTAGCACTGTGTGGAGATGCACTCATGCTCACAATCCAGGAACTCAGGGGCCACCAGGGCCTCACGTTCCAAGCTTAGCATACTCGGGGCCTCACACACCAGTCCTTGCACTCATGGAGGGTCACTTACAGATTTGCATGCAGTCTTTCCCAGCTCTTGGGATTGGGGCTCCCTGGAGACTTCTGTCCCAGGCTGACCATCTCAGGAACCTGCCTCAGCTCTACAGGGTGGGGGTAGGAAGTAGGGGTGCCCAGCAGGTCCCCGCCTTGCCCAGTGTGACCAGGACAGAGTAGCTTAGGGCTGAGAGGGCACAAGGGGGTGGCAGGGTCGGGTTTATGAGCTCATGGTCACCAAGGGGTTGGGTAGAGGGTACTCATTTGTGTGGGAAAGGTGAAGCCCCTCGAGGCTGCCACGGCCCTGGAGTCCTGTCCCACACCGAGGACACCCCTTCTAGGGGCCTGAGATCCAGAAGGGAGCCTAAGACGGTTGGTGACCTGGGTGTACAAAACGGGGGCAGCTCATTCGGCTGTGGGTCCTGCCCGCGAGCAGCACCGCGGCCGGCGCACACTCTGCAGCAGCGCACGGAAGAGGCCGGGTGGGCGTTTGGCAGCGCCATCTGGGGGTGCAGTGCGCACAGAGCCCGCACGACCGGGGCCTGCGCGAGGGGCGGGCAGAGGCGCAGGTGCCCCTTGGCGGCCATGCTCCTCAATCTGTCGCTCCAAATGCTTCTGGATGGCCATCCCCAACACTTCCACTTCCATGGAGGCGCCGTACACCTCCCACGTCATGCCCTTCTCGTCCCAGCTCACGTCGCGCACTGGCTCAGCCGCCTCTTGGGGCGCCAAGGCGGCGGCCAGCGCTGAGCCTGGCCGCACCCGCACTTCGGGGAAAGCAGGGGGCGCGGTGGGTGGTGCAGCGGACTGTGGTGTCATGGGCCCGGTGGCCACCGAGCGCGTCTCGGCAGCGCCCATCGACACCTGGAGGCCTGCGTCCCGGCGCGAGGGTGGCTTGGGCATGGGGCTGGGTGCACGAGATGCTGCTTGGAAACTGAAGGCCGGGCCTCCTGCACCATCCTGCGGAGACATGGGGCTCACGGCCACCGACACGCAAGCCTGTGAACCCGCCTGTGTTCCCGCGTCTTCGCGCGGCGGCGGAGGGGCGCTCGCGTCCCACGATGGCGCCTTGGTGAAGTTGTCACGAGTCCGTGGGCCCTGTGGAGGAGCTGCAGCCTCCACTCTAGGGCTTCTGTCGGCCACAGCTGCCCCCAGCTCTTTCTGGCCCAGCATGGAGGCCTCTGTGTTGGGCATGGGCTGTGGCTCCACACGGCTGCTTCCACCAGCCCCGGGAAACTGGGCTGAAGTGTAGGGTTTGCCGTCTGGTTGCCTGGAAGAGGAAGGCATGGCCTTTTCTGGGGACGGAAGGACCACCTTTCCCGAGGACGGAGACTCTGCTTTTCTCGGAGATGCAGAATCAGCCTTTCTCTGGGATGCAGACTCCACCTGTGCAGCCCCAAGGAGCTCTGCTCTTCCTGATGTCGCATTATTCACCTCAGAGGCCTGTGGCTGCTCCTTCTGCAGAGACCATACCTCTGCTTTTTCCAATGAGGAGGCACCCTCATGCCCAGAGATTTTTGTTTCTGCTTTGCCCTCAGCCTTCTGCTCCACTCTCCCCAAGGCCCTGGTTTCCATCTTTGTGGGATTCACAAAATTCTCCTCTAGAAAGAGAGGATCCACCTTTTCCTCTGGGACAGCTTCTACCTTTCCTGAGTTCATGGGATCCATCTTTTCCAGGGCTGCTTTTCCGGGAGCTGTGGGGACCACCTTTCCTAAAGACACAGCGTCCGTGTCTCCAGTGGAGACAGTGGCTACCTTTTCCCCAGCCACGGGATCTACTGCGCTGGAGACTGGAGGATCTGCCTTTCCTAAGGCTGTAGGACCTTCTTTCTCCAAGGACTGTGGATCTCCTTTCCTCTCAGCTTTTACTGCTGGTGTGGGACCCCAGGACCCCAGGGACCTAGGATCCTCTGGTCCTGAGGACACAGGGTCTATCTTTCCTAAAGACTCAGGGCACTGTTCTCTGGAAGGTGATGGTTTTATGCTTTCCATGATTGAGGGATCCACCCTTCTGGAGGACACCAGGTCCTCTCTTGCTGAGCATATAGTTTCTGTCTTCCCCAAGGACATACGTTGTTCCTGTCCAGGAGACAAGGGCTCTTGCTTTCCTGAGGACATGGGATCTGCCTTTCCCAAGGAGAGTGGACCCATCTTGCTTGAATACACAGGATCTACACTTTTCACAGATGTGGGATCCATCTTTCCTGAAAACACAGGATCCATCCGTCCAGCAGACACAGTTTTTGTCATTCCCATAGTCACTGGACCTCCCTCTCCTGAGGAGCCAAGGTCTATTTTTCCCAGGAACTGAGGGTCCTCTTTTATAGAGGACACAATTTCTGTATTGCCCATGTGTGCAAGGTCGGTTGTCCCCACATGTGTAGGATCCACCTTTCCCAACGACCTAGGAGCCACTGTTCCAGAGGACATAGGCTCTGTCTTGCCAGATGACCCTAGAGCTGGCTTTCCCAAGAGTGCAGGATCTGTCTTTTCTGTGGACACAGAATCTATGCTCTCCAAAGAAACAGGATTCACCTTCTCTGAAGGCCCAGAATGTCTCTTTTCCAAAGACAAAAGATCTACTTTTCCAGAAGGTATATTGCTCACCTTTTCTGAGGACACAGGGTGCTCCTTTCTAGAACACTCGGGCTCCTCCTTTCTGGGGGATGTGTGATCCATGTTGCCTGAAGATACAGGGTCTATCTTTCTCAAAGACCCAGGATCCTCCTTCTTTGGTGACATAGTTTCTACTTTGCTGGAGCAGATTGGATCTACTTTTCCTAGATCCCCAGGATCCCCCTCCCTTGGAGTCATGAGATCTATCCTTCTAGGAGCCATAGGAGCCCCTTTTCCGGAGATCACAGGCTCTGTCTTTCCTGTCAGCATGGGCTCTGTTTTCTTTGAGGACCCAGAATCTTCCTTGCCTGCAGAAGTGGAATCGGCTTGCTGTGAGGACTTGGAATACATCTCTGAGAACATGGGATTTCTGTCTTCTGAGGACATGGGATCAATTTTCACTGAGGATACAGGCTCTAGTTTCCTAGACAAGGTGGTTTCTGGTATCCCTGAGGTTGAGATTCCATGTACCCCTAGTGTCTCCTTGCTAGCTGCCTCTTGAGGGGAGACACAGATGGAAGAGGGGCAGGCCGAGCTCCCAGAAGGCCCCTCAGAGCAAGAGGCCCCTTCCCCAGCCCCACTGGGGTTGCTGTGTCTAGAGTCCATGCCTGGGCTTCGGTCAGGTGTTTGACTGAGGAGTGCAGGGCTGGCCTTTTGTTGGGAGGGGCAGTCATCCCTCATGGCCGGGCGAGCACCCAGGTTCCCATCCTGTGGGCAGTACAAGGGTTCTGAGAGGCTGGAGTCCTTCTGAAGCAGCAGGAGCCAGGCTGGGTCTTCAGCACTGCTCATTTGTCCTTATGGCCATACTTGAGTCCAAGGCTGCTGTCTAGTGCTGAAACACAATAAACGCAGACTCAGACTTGGGAGATTCGGTGGAGAGCAGCCTGCATAAAGGCCTTTTCCTGCTCATCCTTGCCTAGCAACCCAGCCTCCTCACTGGGTTCTCTGCCTCTGTCTAGTCCCCTCCTGTCCACAGAGCTTGGTCTAAGAACATGAATACAACCATATCACTCCCCTGCTTCACTGTGCCCCATAGCCCTCTAGATAGGAGGGTATGCAAAGCACTTCACGACTGCCCACAGCCTGACCTTTCACATTTATCTACTGTCTCCCCATCTTTGGCAGCCTACCCCATGCAATATGCTACCCTGAAGTTACTCATATGCCTCTAGGCCAAGGCTGCAAGCTCTGATGCTATAGGGGCCAGATCAGTCATTTCAGTGAGGGAGGCAGGTTGGGTATAAAGCATGAGGGAATCCTGTGCACTCTGGCAAATTGCAGCTCGTATGCCCTGTCTCTTTGGGGCTGGGCTCCATGAGCCAAGTGCTGCTCTGGAGAAATGAAACCTAATAGTCCTAGCTCTTCTAGTACCTTAAGTGCAAAATCTAGACTCTAATATAAAATATGCTAATTAATTCAAGATTTAAATAAAAAACCCAAAACACTATGTGGGCCAAGGAAAATATGTCTGTAGGCCACCAGTTTATGTCTGGGTAGGCCCTGGGGAGCTGTGAATGGTTTATAGCCAAGAAAAGGACATAGTCAGATAATTGTATTTGCAAAGATTCCTGTAGGATATGTGGAGGCTGGGCAGGAGGATTGGGCTGGCCAAGACCTAGGAGGAGGCATATGAACAGTTCAATCTTCCATTCAAGCAATCCCTCATTCATTCATATAGTCCCCTCCCTGCAGCAGGCCCTGAGCAGTTGCAATAGTCTAGGTGAGGATGGTGCAGAAAAGGCCCTGAAGATGAAAGGCAGAGGAAGAGAGCCAAGAATTCCAGAGAAAATCAATAAGAATCAATGGCTGTAGTTGATGATGGTGAGGGTGGCCTTCAGGATATTGGCTATGGTGGGGGTTGCTAGTAGATGGTGCTGGGTGGGAGTGTGGGACTTGGCCCATTCCAGATGAGCTCAGTTTGTGGTGAATCTACAAGTGACTCCATTCTATTGCACACTCAGCAGCCCACAGTGAGCAGGTGAGTAGAGTTCCCAATTCCCCCCAAACCTGCTCCAAAGTCATCTTCCTAGTGCTCAGGCAACAATCCTAGGGTCACTCTTGACTTTTTCTCATATCCCATGTCCTGTCCATCAGCAAAACACAATGGATCTACCTTTGATTCTGGCCACTGTCCTGGGCTAACCCCCACTTCATATTTTCTGGGTTACCCTTGCTTTCCCCATCCAGGTTATTCTCAAACAGCTACCAAAGGGGTCTTAGTAAAACCCAAGGTAGATCATGTCCTGTCCAGAACCACACAGTCTTCCTACCTTGCACAGAATACAAGTGAATTCACAGCAACTCAAGACCCTGCATGCCATTCACCTTTTATAGCCTTTTCTCTGACTGCCTTCTTTTCCATTGTGCTGTTTCAGCTCCCTACTTGTGGCTGCCACACTGATCTTAGATATGCCCTGCCTTGGGGACTTCATACTCTATGTTTCTTTTGCCTAGAATGCTGGGAGATATGCTGGATAGGAGCTGTGGAGTGCAGTATCTAGGTAGTCCTTTCTTTTTTTTTTTTTTTTAAATTTTATTTATTTATTTGTGTGTGTGTGTGTGTGTGTGTGTGTGTGTGTGTGTGTACAGCTCAGCCTGCCTGGGGGCGGGGCTGGCTGGCATGTGGTTCTGGGGGATTGAACCGCGGTCCCTGTGCTTTGCTAAGCTTGTTCTAAGTAGGTGCTTTAGACCACTGAGCCATCTCACCAGCCCCCTAGGTAGTCCTTTCCCTGAGTCCTTTGCTGTCCTTTTGCATATAAAACAGCCTCCTCCTCAATCCTGGGTAGTATTCTCTGTCTGTTTGTGCCACTGAATTTTTCTCTATATTAACCGTTACCATCTGACATTACATATATATTTCACTGTTTCTCTTATTATAATTCCAGCTCTAGGAGGGTGAAGACATGGTTGTGCAAACTGATATGCTCCCCAGAGTCAAGAATAATGACACACACACACACAGAAAAAAGAATAATGACACAGTAAATAGGCTCTGAATAAATATTCATTACACCAATGACTGAATAATCTTTCTAAGATGTGGGTCCAACCATACTTCTCTTGGTTCAAAACTCTGTTCATTCTTATTAGAAAATTAAGTTAGTTGTAATGTTTTTTGAAGAACACTTATGATTTTATGTCAATGTTTATAATGCCCATAGCATTACAGCCAGCAAGCTCACTTCTAGGCATAGTCCTGGCAGTAGAGTCATAATGCATCCAGCACAAATGTGGGGCTGGTAATGTGCAGAAAACCAGGGAGCAGGGCTTGGAACATGTGGGCCAATTATCCAGAACAGCACCTAGCTGCTAAAATGTGTGGATTAGTAAGGGAAGATGTTCCACATAAACAGAATGAAAAAAGACATGAAGGGTTCGGCATAGCTTCTAGGGTCCCAGGCAAGCAGCCAAGCAGAAGATCAGACACATATTGATGGGTTTATTTACAAGGAGAAAATTTCCACATGGAATCACACAAAACTTTTAGTGGTGATTGTGTCATTTCAGTAAGTCTGGGGATTTGAGAGTGGAAGAGACTTTTTTTTTTTAAATTTTATTTATTTATTTGTGTGTGTGTGTGTGTGTGTGTGTGTGTGTGTGTGTGTGGCCAGCTCAGCCCACCAGGGGGCGGGGTTGGCTGGCATGTGGTGCTGGGGGATTGAACCGCGGTCCCTGTGCTTTGCTTAGCTTGTTCTAAGTAGGTGCTTTAGACCACTGAGCCATCTCACCAGCCCAGAGACTTTCTTTTTGCACCTCACTTTGTGATGTTTGAATTTGGGTTATACGTGCACAAAGCAGAGTCATGCCTTGCTTAATGATTGAGATGTGCCCCAAAGGATGTCTTCTTGATGTTATTGTAGGAATAGAATGGACTTAGAAACAAACACAGGTTGGTCCGGATCAATAACTCAGGGTAGGTGTGATGGCACATGCCTGTAATCCTAGTACTTGGGAAGCTGAGGCAGGAGGATTGCTGCAAATTTGAAGTCATCCTGGGCTACAAAGTGAGCTCAACTGCATAGGGAAATAGTCTCTAAAACACACACACACACACACACACACACACACACACACACACACACACGTAGGCTTTTGATACAATCAAGAGATGTGTTAAACAAAAGATGGATGAGCCTGCTGCTTGGGTAACACAGCAGACTGTCTTGTAGTAAATTTGATTTGTTTATTTTTTGTGGTGCTTGGGATTGGACCCTGAGCATGTGCACTGAGCTACATCCCCATCCCTTTTTTGGTTTCACTGCTGGGGATTAAACCTACAACCTAGCACATGCTCAGGGACTAAGCCATATTCCAGCCTGACCCCCATTCCTTTTTAATTTTAAAAAATTTTATGACAGGGGGTCAGCCAGATAGCTCAGCAGACTAAAGTGCATACTAGGGGACCAGGATTTGATCCTCATGCAGTGCCAGCCTTGCCCCCTGGCACACTGAGCTGGTGATTGAGACTGGGCATGGTGGTGCCTGCCTGTAATCTCAGCACTTAGGAGCCTGAAAACAAGAGGCCGACCTGTGCAGTGAGACCCTGTAGACCCTGTACTAAATACATTAAAAAAAAAAATTGAGACAGGGACTTGCTAAGTCAATAAATTGTCTAGGCTGACCTTGAACTTGCAGTCCTCCTGCCCTAGCCTCCCAGGCTGATGCACTCACAGGCATGTGCCACCATGCCTAACTTTATTATTATTATTATTATTATTATTATATTATTATTATTATTACTATTTTTTTTTTGAAGTAATGGGGAGTGAACTCAGGACCCTGCACTTGTCAGGCAGGCACTTATTTATGGGCCAGGCTATCTCCCCGGCCCATAAATTTATTATTTTTAACTTTATTTTTTAATAGGTAAGAATATGCTTCAAAATAATAATAAAAAGTACAGTACACTAAATACATAAACCAGTAACACTGTTACAATATTATCATAATCCATTATTATATACTGTGCAAATTGTGATACACTCTTTTTTTGTCTATTTGAGACAGGGTTTTGTTACACAATTTAGGTTGGCCTTGAACTCATTTTGTTGCCCAGGCTGGCTTTGAACTCACAGTGATCCTCTTGCCTCAGTCTGCAGGATTACAAGGGTGTGTCACCATATCCTGCCCTGTGATATACTTTTCTCTCTTTTTTTTCTTCTTTTTTGCAGTACTGGGATCAAACTCAGGACCTTGTGCTTGCCAAGAAGTAGCTTACCCTGCTGAGCTATATCTCCATCCCTACCCTGTGATACACTTTTATGCAACTGGCAACACAGTACATTTATTTATACAAGCATCACCACAAACATGTAATGTGTTGTACTAAGATATGACACAGGTTTTGTTATATTCATATGGGACCCGGTCTTTCAGTGACCAAAATGTTATGTGCTTCATACTGTATTTAAAAAAAAAAAATCACAGGAAAAAATGGAAACTTTTAATGAGTCTCTATCACCTTTAATCCATCTCTTTAATGTAATTCTAAAACCCTATCTCTGTTTACCTGCTGGGATTTATCTTTCATACTTACTATTCCTACCCTCAAAGAATGCACACATGCACACACACACACACCCACACACACACACACACACACCCACCATGGAGACACCTCTTTGGCCTTGTCTATAAACTTGATGGCCATCTCAGTTTCTGCTGGGGTCTTTGCCCCTCTCCTCACCTGGCTACTGCTTGTTAAACCTTCAGGTCTCAGTGTAAACGCCTCCTCCTCCTCTAGTGAGTCTTCTTTGCCTACCAGCTACCTCTGTGTTCCCACAGTCTCTTGTTCTTTGCCTAATGAGAAGCATGACATGCTGCATGACCCAT